TCAAAATAACAAAGGATATTATTTAAACATTTCGTAATAACAAAGACCAAATTTGATTGGCTTTTACGGAATAAAAACATTATTACCACTCTTGATAAAAGAATGACATAATTGCCAGTTGGGTCATTTTAAATATTTTATATAATTATAATAGTAATTATTATAAAAAATCCAAAAAGTTCCAGAAAATATACTCTTGCTCGAGCGCAAGGAAGAAGCGGATAATCACGCTTGTCGTGGCACCAGAATTGCGGCCGTCATCGGTATATTGTAGAATTCCTGCATGGTTTATCTTTCCTACAAATCTATGATATTTCTCTTTTGTACGATTTGATCTCGTAAAAGTAATAGATGCGAATTACGTTACATATTTCGTAAATAATTACTTACAGTTTCATTTTCGAGTCTATTACAGGCAAATTAACACACACACCTCTCTTCTCACACAAACACACAGTGAGATTTCGTAGAGCAAACAAAATATTCCTTATATTTTTAAGTTCAATTATAAGTTGCTAATATTATATAATGACTACGCGTCTGTACACATAAACAAAACGCTAGGAAGCTCGGATCGGGCCAAGTGCAGGTTTGTGGTTCAAGTGCCCGAGTGCCGGGCGTTAGTCTGGGCGCAGCTCTCGGAATGCACCTAGCCAGCGGAGAATTCGTTGTACAGCTCAAAAAAATAACGAATGTCTGTTTGCAGACCGGCGGATTCTTGAAGCGCGGGAGGCACTGAGTCACGGTGATAATAGCGCTAACGTTAGCGGCCGAACAAAATCTCTTGACGTGTACATTCGATAACGAATTTGAAATCTTCGTGCGCGTGATGCCATTTGCTCCACCCCATGCGGCCGGATGTGCTCGCTTAAGTGCCTTCGACTATTTTGCGAAGTTGTCTCTCTCGCCAGTAGGACTTAAAAGGCAGAAAGCGCGACGCCGACTAATAAGATTGAAAATTAATTGTTCAAGCAATCAATGGCAAAATACTATCTTTCTGAACTTAGGGTGTGAAAGGAGGTAATGACTTCGATAACATGGACCGACCACGCTTTTTCTAAAGCAAACGTTTATGTGGTAGAACGCGAGGTTAGAAGACAGAGAGGCAAATCGTTATAGAAAAATGAAATTGGTAGAAGCCAGAATAGGACATAAAACTCCATCCTTGGAGGGTAGAGGAAGAGAAAGATGATCATTTAAAGGGTGTAACTCTGTTATTTGTTAATACGAAGCATAATACTGTCGTTCATAGCAGGCCAATACCCATAAAGGCTAAAAAAAAAAAAGGATTACTGTTATTTTTTAATTGGCTGAATTATTTGCAGATGCCTAAAAAATAATTTAATCTTAGAGCGCTTAGTCACCCGCTTTAACCTTTAAACCGCGGGGGCCTGGCCGGTGCCGCCGCGCTGACAGAGGGCCCACGCAACGGGCGGTGGGGTCGATGTAACAGGCGCAGGAAGAAGCAAGTGGGGAAGAGGAGCGAGGGTGTATTCGTAAATTTTCGTTTCGTGTTCGTGTAAAAACGCGCAGGATGACTTTTGGCTATCCTCCAGATAGGCAGCGCGTCGGCTCTTTTAATCTATCGCTTGCTGAACGGATGGCAAGCCGCGGTTGCCGCCGATTTTCACGCAATCCGGAGGTCCGGTCCTACCGCAATCAGGCAGGGATGTGTTGATGGAGTTACTGGTCTTCGGCAGGAAGAGGCCGAGCGCTACGGCCCTCTGATATTCTTGCCTTTTACAGTGCCGCCGGCATCCGTAAGAGATTCTCTTTGGCATGAAATTGAGCGAAAAAGCGGCTGTTTTGATGGGTTTTCTCCGCGACAATATTCAATTTTTTTTCCAACTTTTAAAACCCTTTCCTAGACCTTCCACGAACATTTCAAAAACCAAGATAAGATAAATCCGCTTCAGCCGTTCTCGAGTATTTTAGCGAGACTAACGAACAGGCAATTCATATAGATATATATATACTATATATATTATATATATAAATATATATATATATATATATATATATATAGAGAGAGAGGATGAGAGGAAGAAGGACGAGGACGAGAGAGAGAAGCAGGGGGGGAGAGAGAAGTCGGCATCCACCAAAGACAAGATTCCATTCTCCGTCCACAGCCCCATGAGCTCCCACCTGCTCTTCCACAACCTGAACGGTGCGTGTCGGCTGCACGGCCTTCCCGACGAGTACCCCGACAACTCGATTGAGCGGAAAATTGTGCCCCCGCCATTGATGTGATCTCCGTTTCGCATCACTCCCACAGAATTC